TCGTTCTCTGGGGGGGGGTTGGGGTCGGGGGGGTTGTTGTTAAAGCAGGCGACCTGCCGCTCTTTCTGTTTTCTGTTCTGCTACATGATGTCTGTGGAGCTGTTGACTTTGACTGATTCACGTGAAGAGGAGATGTCACAGTGTATCACTGTCTCTTTTACGCTTTGTTTTTGCTCTTAAAGCCCTTGGGCGGGGCAGGACGGTGGGGGGGTCTAAAGGGGGGGGGGTTCTGGCCGACTAAGCAAAAAAAACAACAAAATCCCACCAGCGGAACGGCCCCACCTTTTGTCCGACGTGACCCGCAGCCGAGTGAAAACAGCCTCACGCCCTTGCCCCTCCGTCGCCCCCCGGTGGCCCTGCCTAGCTTTGCAACAGTCCGACACACTGAACCTGCCCTTGTTCCTGCATGTAGCTGCACCTGCGACGCACCGTCCACCCTGTCACCGCCACACCCCTCTGCGTCACTCCACCTCCGTATCTGCTTCTGCGTTTGCTTCCACCAAACAGTTCCTTCCTTCAGTGAAACTCGGTGCCTTGAAAAGCACATCATTAAATCTCCTTTTGTGAATGCATTTTTTCCGACACTATGAAATGAAGAACGTTGAGCTGTTTTAGTTGATTCTCTTTTTTTTATATCCTAGATGTACTGTAGGCTGTTTGATTATGTAGAAAGTTAGACTGAACACGCTGTGGCCTTTAGGGCTGTCACTTGATCTGAACGCCACGGCAACCTCGAAGATGGAGTGGAGTAGTTACCACCAGCTCCAGCAGAGGGCACTCCAAGTCCGATTTAACCACAGAACCTCAGTTAGCCCCTCATTAATAAATTACACTGTTGCTGGACTGAGGTTGACAATTAGCAGACAGACTTTATTAATGCCTCTGTGCCAGAGCAGGAACACGTTGGTGCTGTTTTTACGCCGGAGCATCTACAAAAATGTTTGAGTTTGAGGTTGGTAGGAGCTTTTGATGCAAAACCTGCCTGTTTCTTGACGTTCAATGCCTCTGTGCCTGCTCACCTGGTCACATGAAAGAGTCTAGAATATTGTCTTTCTGTTAGCCTAGCGTAAGCCTGACATCTTGATCGAGGGTTTTCGACTTGACATAATCGATGCCTCTGTGCCTGCACAGGGAGGAGGCGGGGCTTGTTTTGTGGCATTTGGCTGCTGGCAAGCAAATCAAACGATGGCCTGAGCAGAGAAGCAGGAAAATCAAACTTCACGTCAGAATCTTTGGAACTTTTGGTGTAGAGTGACAGTCCTGAGGAGTCGGTTCCAGTGCAGTAACGTAGGGAGTTTATGCACTGTGGTACTTGCCTAAATTAATGCATTGGAATAAAGACAATGTGAGGTCCAACATGTGGTTTGGGGCCTTTTTTTGTTTTGTGAGCGGCTCCTTTTGTTTGGCCACTCCCTCCAGGGTTTTGTGTCGCCTCCATTTTTGTTCTGACTATTATTAAGCTGCTCCGCTTCTCCACCGTGGACACAAAGCTGAAAAACATCAGACCGACACCTCCCTCCCCCCCCCCCGGGGGGGGGGGGGGGGGGGGGGTGTGGGGGGATTCTGGGTTTCACAGAGAGCTCTGCTCCGACTCCTTCCGTCGACCTGCTGTCTTCTCACAGGGGGCGCTAACATCACGACACCTGTTTCATCAAATGAGAATTATTAGGTGATATTTTTATAAAAGAATAAAAATTCTTCCCTGCTTTTACTGTAAGATGTAACGCTGTGCACAATAAAATCTAATATAATCCAAGGCTCTCCTCTCCATCCTCTTTATTGACACAAATATATATGTGTGTGTGTGTGTGTGTGTGTGTACTAATTAGTTACGAAAGTTTTGGTTGTTTTAGCCAATAATTAGCATAAATTAGCTAAGTGCTTGCATTTACTGCACGGTTAGTGTGTGTGTGTGTGTGTGTACTAATTAGTTACGGAGGTTTTGGTTGTTTTAGCCAATAATTAGCATAAATTAGCTAAGTGCTTGCATTTACTGCACGGTTAGCTCAAATGTTACCTCCTTGCTAAAAAGAAAAAAAAAAGCTAACTGAATGAAAACTATTTGAATGTATGCAAATGTAATTAAACTACATTAGTGTTGGTTAACAAAGTTAACTTAGTTAACAAAGTTAACTAAGTTAACTACGTTAACTAAAAGTCAGCTGAGATGTAGCTAATAGATCAAACTTAGCCAGTGCGTTCTTGCGTTTCTCTTCGACCAGGTGCTAACTCTAACTCTAACTCTAACTCTAACTTTAACTGTGACTCTAACTCTAACTCTGACTCTAACTCTAACTCTAACTCTAACTTTAACTGTGACTCTAACTCTAACTCTGACTCTAACTCTAACTCTAACTCTAACTCTAACTCTAACTCTGACTCTAACTGTGACTGTGACTCAGAGGAGAAACTCCAACGACTGTTTTCCTTCATCTGCTCCGCGCTGGAAAAACCGAGGCGTGAGCAGGAGTCTGGAGCAGGAGCAGCAGAGACCGGTGGACTGTGGTGTTGCTCACAGCCAGTTCCTCCAACACTGGCACCACGTCGCCATGGCAACAGAAGAAACAAATACAAACGTTGGCTGAGGTCTTTGGAGACCAGAGTCAGGTCCTCAGAGTGGAATCACATCAACTTCACACAAATCCACACTCGTAATTATGAAAACAGAACGATTTGTTTTTTCTCGTCGCTGATTCCTTCGTTTCACAGGAAGTTACTGAAAATGAAGCCAATGACGAAACAATGGTTTATTGTTTTAAACCAGTTAAAAATAAACCTCACAGAAGAAACAGTAGAACTGACTGTTGTGTTTCTACTAATGTTGTTGTTGTTTAATGAGAAACATGCAGACAAAGATACAATTTTGAAAAATAATTTTACAAACATTTTCATCA